ACCACGACCACGACCACGACCACGACCACGACCACGACCACGACCACCACCACCACCACCACCACCACGACCACGACCACGACCACGACCACGACAACGACAACGTAACAGTTCAGTCCGATAGAAATCAGGCCTCCACCAATTCAGATGTGTTTTGCCTCACATAGTCTCGAATCCAGGCTTGGCATTCCACTTCAACTTGTTTCTGGTTGGAGATCTGCTGCAACCACATGAGTGCTTCCTGCCGTTGAGAGTTTCGAAACTTCATGGCCTGGCTCATGGCTGGAGCTGCCATCTCATCCGCGGCTTCCTTCGCAAACCACAGGAGCTCGGCCACTTCGAGGACAGCATCGGTGCTGTTCAAGGGTGGGGTGCCTGACACGCCCCAGCGATGTGTAGCGCCCAGAGATTTCATCACCTCTCTCACAGGGTAGTTCCATGACTCGGCCTCATGAAACTCATCGAGGATCATTCGATTCCACCAAATCACCTCCAAGAAGATGGGGGTAGCAGACAAGGCAGTCTGCAGAAAGCAAGGTTTCTCATGCCACTTCTCTACACACTCCCGCAATTTCTGTTGCTTGTCACGCATCCGCATGTGAGGCCAGTCTCCTTTCCAAGGGTAGTATGTCTTTGTCCCTGTTGAAAAGCCTATACGAGGCCCGTGAACTCTTTGCCTTTGTCTGGGATCTTGGATCCAACTAGCAAGGAGTTCTCTGATGCGCTCACTATGTTTCTGTGAACCCAAAAGACCAGTGGAGACCAACACGGCATCCCAGCTGAGAGGTGCCACTCCATCTGCCTCATTTTGGGTCGGTCCAAGCAAGTCTTGAAGCCTTAAACGAGAAAGGTCTTGGCTGTCCTGAATGGTCAAGATCCGAAAAGGACCTTCTCCTCTCACAGAGGTAATCCGTGAAGAGCTGTCACGCCTCACGGTGATATGGAGGGTTGCGCCCTGGACGAACTCGTTGTCCATGAATTCCTGAAAGTTTCCCTTGGCAACCGCTGAACATGCACCGGGCGAATCCTCCACCGACATCCCAATAATTTCATCTCCGAGATGCAACTGCTTGTCAGGATGCAAGCCCTGGTTGTGCTTTTGCATGCTCCGGCTCAGCTCGGAAACCACGTGTCCTGCAACTCTGAAGAGCCAACTGGATGATGTAATCGTGATTGCTGGGAGCTTGCGAGGCTTTCGTTTGTTGGCCGGTGGCCGTGGAGCCGCCCGGAAGATCTGCACGCCATCTCCAAGGAACTTGACAAACTCATCCTCCCATTGGACCACCAAGTGAGGAGGACACAAGATCAGTGTCGCCGGGGTCTTGATGAATCCTTCCGGTCTCTCATTCTGACTCCTCCGGGCTGCTCGGGCTTGGGGCCCTGATTCATTGCGCTTCTCAGAGAGCATGCCGATCATGGTGGCTGTCTTCCCATAACCCATCTTGTCAGCCAACAATCCACCTCTCAATCCAGAGCTCTTCTGCTCACGAGAATACATCCATGCCAAAGATCTCAACTGTTCTTCCCTCAGTGGATAGGTCTGGAACGCTGCAGGATTCTTAGCTACAGCTCCCTTGCTTCCATTGGCTTCCAATTGAAAGCTACAAGCCTCACGAAGCTCCTTACACCGCCGACGCTTGGCCAGCGGCAAAGCGAAGACTTCCGGTTTGGACACCGGACACGATGGGAGCTCCGCACCAGTGACACCGACCTCCATGGTGGAATCGACTGCTGAAACTTCAGGACCTTGAGGGTGAACCACCTCAGCATGTCCCAAACACTATGCCGATCAGTTGGGGTGGTTTTGGGGGTCAATGTAGGCATATGGCAGTCCTATGGAGTGTCTGGGTGTGGTGTCAGGATCTGTCAGGAGATCGGAGGTCCGGAGGCCCGGGGTTGGAGTTGGGAGTTCAGTGGAGTTCATAAACACCAAGTCTCTGAAAGACGTTCTTCAAGGCGACCCAGTTCGGTCACTCAAACCTCTTAAGGGTATAGCTGGGACCCTCACGTTAGGTCACTTGGAAGAAACTGGTAATTGCGTCGAACAAAAACTGCGCCAGTGGCATCCATTGGCCCTAAACATGTGAAAAGGCCGTTGCTCAGAAGTTGCTCCTGGTGCTTTCCGGCTGTTGCCCGTTTCTGCCTGTCCTAAGGTCCGGTGCTTTCGGCAGCTTGGACTTGTGGCAGGCAGACTGCGAACTCAAGCCAACCTCCCAACCTCTCGCTGAGCCGCTCCCACCTGCTCCTCCCCAAAGGTCACAGCTTCCAGTTGCTGAAGGCGTTCCGGCACGGTCGTTTTGCTGGACTGCGATCCCAAACACAGCTCCTACGTGACTTGTCACGGTGGAGCAAAAGGGCTCTTTCACCCGGAGTGCTGACGCAAGGCACGCGAACTGATAAGGTTCTTGGGGATGTGAACTGGGTAGGTGATGGAAGGGTCCAGTCGTACCGAACCTGAGAAGGTGGTTAGGATCCATAGGGAAGGAACACAAGTGTGGAACTACCATTTAAGTTCTTATCCCACTCACAGTCAGAGTATGACGTGGAGGTTTCTAGTCTTGTTTTGTGAGACTGTCTTTAACAGCGAGAAGACCCATGCAGCACGCAACACACCAGGCCATGTCAAGCGTATTCAATTGTAATATATGTGCAAACAGATGGCTTTGTCATGGTCATCCTCACTTGCCAGCATGTGACAAGTTTTATCAAAGCCAAAACATCGACATGTGACACGGTCGGACTCTTTACCTAGGTAGCAAAACCGTGTCCATGGCATGAGTGTCTCCAAGGTAGCTATGCCATGCACCATGGGGTGTGGCATCTGCCATGCACCGGTCCGTCTTCATGTCTTGGTGTCTCCTCTAGCTTCGCAACGCGCGGCAGCAAGCCCCCTTGGCAGGCACCGGTCAAGAACACCTGTTCAAGTCGCGCCACTCTGTCAACGAGTGACAGCACCATGGCAATGCGCGGCAGCCTTCTGGATACAATATAGGAGATTCCACAATCCAGTCTCAGAGATGTTAACATTGACATTACTATATTTAGACATATTTGGATTTTAACTAATATATCATTTAGATATTGGCCCCGTGCTTGCACCTATATGTGTCCGTTCTTTTGTGTTGTTTTTTGACTGTCGGAAACTGCACAATTGCTCGCCTTCTCATCAATTGAGGTCTTTTCTGTCTTGATGTTCTTCGCTTTTTCATCTCTCAAATGCCATCCCACATACCGCGGACGATACTACATGTGTAATCCATTTCACGTCAAAAACGTTGATTCTCGAAAACCATGCGGTCACATCACACTCTGTACAATCCTGCACCCCTAGGAAGACGCTCTTCTTTCGCACCAACGGAACACGCCGCGAAGCTCAACGGGAGCTGAAGCTCGGATGCATCGAGTGGCATTCTCCCGAAGCAACTCGTCCACACGGGCCTGGCGGAGACATTTTTGCGCTTTCGGGAATGGACCATGAACTGCCGCGTTCGCCACTGAATCTACAAAGTCGTTCAGTGCAGCTATGACCAAAGAAGAAAACACCCATCCGTCACAACCAGAAATGGCCGGAAGCATAAAGACAAGGCCTCCCTGAGTTCTTGCTATTGAGCCATGTGCAAGTGCCTTGGAAGAAAAACTTACTGTAGAAAATCTAAAACGACTCGGCATTAGCTGCCAAGAACTCTTCTGGTATTCTTGTCAGCATAAACGATTGCAAATCAAACCAACTTAACATGTTAAAGCTGGCGGAGGCCCAACGTAGCATTTTCGTTCCCCCTCCTTCCACTCCCTCTCTCCCTGGCACAATCCTTTTCACATTGATCAAATGTGGGGCTTCTGTACATCCTGGAGCCCTGTTTTCTGCTGGAACTGCGAGGGGCGGATCAGATGGAGTGACTTGGCCGCCAAACCATCGCCTCGTGGCCTGACTTGGGGGGCACTGATGTGACGCAATCCGAATTCGTTTTCTACTTCGCAAACTCCAAGGACCTGGCATTGGGAGCACGACCACCTTCTTTTTGTGAGTGGTCTCTTCGTCTAAACGGCGAAGAGAGGAACTTGGGATGAATGGAAAGCATCCAGTGGAGAAATACCCTCAACAGTGGAAATATGAACCTAGTAACAAGAAGCAATGCTACTAGGAGCAAGAAGCTAGCAGTAGGTCCTGTGGGGAAAAACGGGGGGGCCTTCCCTTCATGCTTAGAGCGAGTTTTAGGAAGACCCGCCCAATTTGGGTGATTTTGTAGGAGTGCTTGGCTTCTTCAGAGTGCCATTGTCTGACAAACCACTCAAAGTCAAATCGCTTCAAGTCACTCCGCTATACAACCACCTCCAGTCAAGACGTGGTGCCAATCGTCAGGTAGATGGCCGCTTGAAACGGTTCAGAAGGTTCCGGGAGTTCATGGATCAACAAGATTGGGGTCTCAAAAATACATCCAAACATGCAAAGCCACATGCGAGAGGGAGATAAGTCGGAGCCTCCTCTTCTGATTGCTCTGCCAGGGCCCACAAAGAGGGCATGTATCTATATATAGTTGTTTTTTGTCACAGGGTTTCTCTTTCTTTCTCTCCCCCAACCGAGTCGAACCATGAGCGGGGATGAGCGGGGCTGCTGGGCTTTTCGGGCTTCACGCGCCAACAGCGGCGGTATTTGTGGCTCACTGGGTTCGCAAATTCCCAGTGCCCTGAGTTGGGGGGGTTCTTGAGAAACTGCAGTTCAGGCTCTGGATTTGGGATATTTGGGAGGCCGCGTCCATCGTCAATTAATGAAGCAACTCTTCTGGGCCACGAAGAGACATCGAACAACAGTAGCTTGACATAATCCGAACACCACTTTCACAGCAAACCAGTCAAATTCTGTGTCCACCTCTTGATTTGGGGTGCAAATCCCTGACTTAACATTTCATGTTGCAATTATTTGAGACCACGTATCCAATCAAGACCTTTTGAATCATTGTATAGAACAACAGAACAACATAGACACAACATAAAACATATATTCTTTTTACTTCATCAGTTCCGAAAGGGCACCAACAACCCTGTTAAACTCTGAACATCAATCTGACCTACACAACTCGGTGCTACGGCTAAGCCCTGCATTTCATGTTTGATTGGCTTCAAACCCAGGCTCCATCCGCCAAGTCTGCAACCAGGACCAAAACTATGGAATCGACCTGAAACTCAACGTCGCCGTCTTCTCCAGGTCCTCCCAACCCTCTGAACGATTGTGCCTAAACAAAGCTCAGCCTGTTCTCAGGGTCCCACCCCGCCTGCGGCGGGTGGTTCTTCCCGGCAAGTGGGCGGAGCGGCTACTGCGTAAATGGTCAGCGACTTCTGGCCAGTGGCTGGACTTCTTCCAAGTACATTCAAAATTGGAGCCAGCAAGGGATTCCAACGAAATCTTACTCCTTTGGCACCTTTTCGGATGAAGAACATCGGCCGTTGTTTGGTACATAGTCCAACCTAACATTGTTTGACCCATGATTTGATATGATTTCATATATCATCACTCCAAACCCTGAATACCAAGAAATTTGGAACCATTTTTCTGGTGTGGGCCGTTAAACACAAACACCACAAAACTTCCGTGCCTACGTTTTTGTACTGATCGTACGTGTGGTGTTGAACGTGTGGCTGCAGCGTCGCTGCATTCACGCGGCTGCGACGGGCCCCGTGTGGCTCAGGGCTTCGCCAGGGCCGTGTTGCGGCTCGGCTGCGCCCGGCTGCGGCCGGCTGGTTGATGGTTCACGCGTTTGCTTCTCTTGTTGCCAGGGCCTTTGGTATCAGCCAGACATATTTAGCTACATTGGGGTTGACCTGGGGGCAATGTTTCATTGGTGCAAGGTATAGAATCTGGATGAATCTGGAATCTGGAATCAGACAAGGGTACAGTATCAGTGCACAAAAAAACACAAGCAAGCAACCAAAGGCAAGCACCACACAAACTTGGAGGGAATCCACTCAGAAGACCCACAGAACCAAAGCTTGGAAGGTTTAACTGTGGATCTAAAACAAATACACACCCAGCCTTGGAGATCACTCAGAAAAATCCGACATCAAACCAAAACCCAGCTTTGGGGGATCGCTCAGAAAAAACAAGTCGCTCAGAACCCGCACCCAAAACAAGCTTTGGGGGATCACTCAAAAAACACGGGGCGCTCAGAACTCCCACCCGAACCAAGCTTTGGGGGATCACTCGGAAAAGAAAGTCGCTCAGAACTCCCACCCGAACCAAGCTTTGGGGGATCACTCGGAAAAGAAAGTCGCTCAGAACTCCCACCCAAAACCAAACTTTTGGGGAGTACTTAGAAAAACAATGAAAAACACATCATTCAGAACCCCCACCCAATCCAAGCTTTGGGGGATCGCTAAGGAAAGCCGAGCAACAGTCCATCGAAAACCAAGCTTTGGGGGATCACTCGGAAAAGAAAGTCGCTCAGAACTCCCACCCAAACCAAGCTTTGGGGGATCACTCGGAAAAGAAAGTCGCTCAGAACTCCCACCCAAACCAAGCTTTGGGGGATCACTCGGAAAAGAAAGTCGCTCAGAACTCCCACCCAAACCAAGCTTTGGGGGATCACTCGGAAAAGAAAGTCGCTCAGAACTCCCACCCAAACCAAGCTTTAGGGGATCACTCGGAAAAGAAAGTCACTCAGAACTCCCACCCAAACCAAGCTTCGGGGGATCACTCGGAAAAGAAAGTCGCTCAGAACTACCACCCAAACCAAGCTTTGGGGGATCACTCGGAAAAGAAAGTCGCAATCTCACCAAAACCGAGCACTTTGGGTGATCAGTCAAAAACGTATCGCTCGGGGACCTCAAAGAAACCAAGCTTTGGGGGATGAGTAGCCTGGTGGGTCAATCTAGGTTTCAAAAGAGCTATCAACTGCCCGGTACTTTGCCCGGTACTTTCAAGGTTTCCGAAAAAGTTAACGGTTACTCTACTTTGAGTGGTCCCGACCATGACAACTCAATCAATTTGTCTTCATGCCATTGTGAGGAGCATGTTGCCATGGTCGTGAGCTTTGTGGTTCTCGACTTTGTTCGTGGGTCCTCCGGTTGTGTGCTGTGATTGTGGTTGTGTGCTGTGGTTGTGTTTGTGGGTATTTGTGCAGTGATTGTGTTTGTGATTGTGTGTTTGTGTGTTTGTGTATATGTTTGTGGCTTTGTTTGTGTTTCTGGTTGTGTGTTTGTGCTTGTGGTTGTGTGCTGGTTGAGGTCCGGCGGGGAACACTACCAGCCCCTCGGCTCGCGGTTGTTCGGACGACGCGGAGGACGAGAAGGACGAGGAGGAGCACAAGGAGGAGGGCACGAGCTGACATAAAATATAACAATCCTCAGACTCACTTGACAGGTGGGGGAAACATATTATGACCATTTATTGACCATTCTATGTGCAGTTCAGGATCTCTACAACATTGCACGATATATTGCAAAGGATGTGCTTCCAATTCACCTGCAACGTCGAGGATCGTGGGAGTTCACCCTCAAACAGCCGGTCCCGGGCGATGCTCAGGTCACTTCAGTAGCGTGAAGCACCTGGCACTGGCACATGGGAAGTGGCAACGTACCCATCCACAAAAAGCCATAACAAAGAGAGCAGAGAGCCCACAGTTTGGAGTATGTCCACCTCCCAAGAAATGGTTAGACACTTTTTGAACCCCCGTGAGTCATCTCTGAGGAGCTATATTAACAAACACCCCTTGGGGGGACTGTGGTATGTGTTTTCTTCGACCCAAAAGAGGTGAGGAGTAGGGGTTCTTTTTCACCAGCCGACCGAGCGTGGATCCTGACCGTATCGCAGGAGCAGGGAAGCACGGACCAAGCATCGAATCTATCCTGCAAGTGACCTACTTTCATGGCCTATCCTGGTGCTGGGAAGGACAATTCTGCAGGGAACGCGCTCTAGTTTCAGAAACGCGATCTGAGGATATTTGGGGGGTGACTAAAAGGCCAAGCATCTGTGAAATCCATTATGATCCAGTAAGTTTCATGAAGATTGTCATTTCATATGTCACCCATCCGCTTCATACTCCTTGCTTCAAACACGGAGGATGACCCTGTTTAGGTGACCCCACCACCCCACCACCGCCTCAGGTCAAGCTCTGCCTGGCTCGAGCCAAGTGCTCCTGCGAAACGGGGGGAGGTCGCGCCACCCCACCCAGCGAGAATCGTCTCGGTGCTCGGAGCGGCATCCCGGCGGGAGTAGACTACGAAGCTTAAGTGGCAATGTTCGCTACAAACGGACCAACGGAGCAGGTCATCGCCCATCGCTACGAACGGAGCAATCGGACGCTACGATCGGGGCTCCTGGCCTTACTAGTAACAAGAAGCTACTAAATAACAAGGGCATGACTGACTACTAGTAGCAAGTCTACTGGCTTCAAGGAGATGAACATGAGTCGCCCTGTTTTTTCTGGATGAGTCGCCCGCGCGCGTTCGGTGTCCCGAAACGGCTGAGATTCTTCCAGAAAATGCACGGTCAAGCGCTGGTTGGGGTCAAAGCAAGTCAACTTGGCCTGGCGGAGCATTGTGCGGAGCATTGCGGAGCGCCGGTGTCCAGAACGAAGGGATTTCTGGGAAAGGTTAGCAAGAATGGCACTTAAGCAACTATATATGACCTTCATCATCTGACTTGCTGAGAGTGGAGCTCTTTCAGCAAGCTGGAAGGTATACTCACCAACAGACTCCTCTTTGTTTCGATAAAATCATGTGGGTTTGAGAAATCCCAGGTCGTGGAAGAGTCATTGGAGAGCAAACCACTCAAGAGTCAAGAGTCTTGGCTGGCGTCTTTGGTCTGTTCTTGGACGAACTCTCCGCCGACCATGTTAGTTTGATTGAAAGGTACAGGGTCTTGGTATCACTCAATCAATATGTGGCAGTTCAATTCTTCAACTTCCTTCACTTTTGATCATTTAGGAATTCCTTTTTTGAGATCAACTTCCTCCTCTTTCTCTTCAACTTGAAAACTTTCTCAAAGAACCAGTCTGAACGCCACGAAAAACCTAAGTGCCCGACGGCGCAATCACCCAGGACCTGCACCTAGCGAGACGTTTTTCCATACACGCCAGGCAAGAACTGGGGAGAGAAACCCAACGGTTCTTCTACGATATTATCCTCTTCCCCATTAACAGTGGATGATGATGGTTAGTGAATTTTAAAGGAACTTTCTCTAAAAATAGTGACAATTGCTTTCCAACTGTTACAGGTTCCCTGGCGATCACCCCCAATCCGGTTCTGTGGCGATCAACAAACAGAATTGGAATAATGGGACGATCAATGACGACCAACCAGTCGTCGACCAGCGCGTCTGCTTTGCATGGTTTTGGGCTGTTTCAGGCCCATCCATGATCCCAAGCGTCAAAGAATGATCGGATACTTGTAACTTCTCTCACAAGTTGAGAAGAGGAGTGTCACACGCGTAGTCAATCAACCTAAATCTAGTGACCTGAACGTCTGTCCTCTCATTTCGCTTTGACAACAAACCCAGATGGTCAGTCCTCAAAGGTGCTTGTGAAGATAGAACGCAGAATTCCTTGAAACTCCCCCCATCTCTTTCTGGCCACAGAGCTGGGGTTTAGGGTTTAGGGTGGAGTCGGGTGAAGGCTTTGGATGGTTTTGGAGAGTCCACAAAGCCACAGAGCTGCCACCATTGAACCGCGCCCCTGGCGTCGGCCAGGAGGCTTGCGCATCGACCATGGAGGCCTCAGGGTCAGGGCTCCGGAGCTGCGCAAGGACAAATGACGTGAAATGGTCCTTCCTGGTCAAGGGGGCTGCATGCAACATGTAACATCATGGTTTCCTGTCAACACAAGCACCATCACCAGCTGACTATTAGGTGTCAAACTTGGTGAAAGACACCAAGTGGGCCTGCGATACGGCGGAGTCGCAAAGTACGACGAGTACACGACCCCAGCTGTGATTTGCAGCACCAAATGGACAGATTGCTGTGACCACAAAACGGGGTACCATCCATAAGATCCACAAGCTGCTGATGGCATACCCAAACACATTCAACCCAGAAACAGGGTACTACTACCTGCTCCTCCAAGCCATCGGTGAAGTCTTGTTTCTTGTGAAAATCACGTCCATAATATGTGGTTTGCCTATTGCCAGTACCTAGCTCAATCACTCGCGAAAAAGGGCTTGTTGACCATGGCCATCAGGAATGGCTTGGCCATCCGATGTTCAAGGTTGGAGAAATATGGTTGTCCAAAACCAATTGTAGACTGTTAGTAACATAACATTATAATTTCAGAAACCAAATGACACCTGTCGGAGGATGCTGGTAGATGTATCCAAAGACCTCTTCGTTTTCGCGTTCTTTTTCCACACGCCCGACATCCTGGGCCCGCACGTCGAAGATGCCATCTGAGACAGCAGCATCGCCAAGGGCCTTGGACCACACCGCGCAAGCGGTGTTGACCGGTGCTTGGTCAAATGCACGATTCTCTGGGGCAGAAGTTCTGTACCAGGGCCCCCGGCTTGGGGTGTCGAATTATAGCTCCTTAGAGGTTAAGCGGTATCCGGTATCCATTCACCACCCCAAACCGGGGGCTCTGGTATATTGGGATTTTAGATGTTCTTCTCTTTAAGACTCGTTTTAATATGTTTTAATCACCATTTCCTTTTGGATGACGGGTCCGGGTCCCACCCACTTCACTGAGGCTTCAGCCATGGCCTCCCGGCCCTGGCGTGGGAGTCGAAGCACGTCGAAAACATCGGATGTGTCACATCGGGCTCAGAATGGCTCAGAATTTCTTTGGATTTTTTTTTGGGGGAAGAGATATTTCATGATGCTGGCCTTATGAGTTTATCGACGGTACCCCCAACCTTGCCTTCAGCCTGCCAGCATCCCATACCTGGTTGGCCTCTCCCTTGGGCCTCTCACCGAGTCAGAAAAGCCGCTCGACTCTCGACACACCGAGTCACGAGCTTGCACGCGGCCGAACAAGGAACAAACCGAGCGACACCGCAAAAGTCGCAGAACGCTGTGATTTGCTCCAAAGCACGATTGAAACTCAAACGGCCTTGTAAGGTCCGAGGTGGGTGATCCTACCCCTGTGTTGTGTTTGTCAAAAAGACACACGTTTGAAGGAGTGTTCCAGGCCTCATCCCAGGCAGGTTGGCCAGTGAGGATCTCCAGACTGGCATCGTGTGCAGATGGAGATTGTACATTATCCTATCACTACTGTGGTGGATGATCATGTTGAAAGTGGACCACATTGCTAAGAGTGAAGTGTACATTAAGATGCAAAGTCTTACAAATATGTGGAGAAGTTTGGCTTACTTATATATATATATTATATATATAAGTGGATGGGCAAAAGATCTGGGACCCAACTAGGTCATTCATTGAACAAATGCATGGCAGCTCATGCTAGCTCTGTGCCCCCGGTACCACCAGAATAGAACGTGGCCAAAGATCTTTCCAACTGGTGCAACCATCCACTAAAGGCATCAGTGTACAGCTATGCAAACCGCAAATATGAAGGGATCAGTACAACTGGATGATATTCACATGTGTGTATAGAGAATCTGTACACATCATGATGTTCAAGAGCCAAACATATAAAGGACTTATATGATGACCTGTGTTTGGCCCTCGCCGCTGGCACCCTTGTTCTCTGCCATTGGCCAGCCCTTCTCCCAGACGCCACGGCGGATCCATCCGCTTCTGGCGCCCGTCCTCCCCGCCCTTCCGCCACGGCGTGTCCCTCGACACGCACGACACTCCCCCCCCGCACATCACGACGCCGAGTGCAAAGGCGTCGGTCTTCTCATTGGCCGGGCGCATCATGAGCTCGGGAGCCATGTAGCCAGGGGAGCCCACCTGGGCGGAGAGACGCCGAAAACGAAACGAAAACGGAAGCGCCCAAGGTCGGAATTACGTTTCCAGAACCGACCAGGTTCTATAAGGCACGCTAGTTGAGTGAGACATGAACAGAATCCTAAATGACACATGCACCTCATATGCATCTGCTTTTTCTTTCATGCGTGTGAGGCATTGAACCTTGAGCTGTGCACCTCTGTTGCGAGCTTCGGCGTGGGCAGGTCTAGGAGGCGACCCCAAAACTTTCCATTCGAAGTAGTGATCAAACATGGAAGGGCAATATCCAGCCTTTTGAGCCATGTTGAACATTGAACCCATCAACTGGAGGTCAAAACGTTGCAGTAGATCGCTGGATTGATAGACATGTCAGAGACATCCTGTCAGTCTCATGAATTCACGCTTTGCAGTACATGCCATGAGGGTCCGATCTTGTGGTCAAGGAGCCTCCCTATCGTCGTTCACGGCAGGCGAAGCGGCGAAGCCCTTCCCTATCTCCTGCTGTTCCACCTGAACGGCAGGAGCACCATCATCCGACCTCCACAGCCTTCCCACGTGTGGTTTCAGAGGTGAATGTAGGTGAAGCCATGCACGGAATGTTTTGGGAGTCATCACAGCTTCGATGAACGACGCTCGAGGTCAGCGAGGTCGAAGCATCCGGGATTTGGGCCAACCGTTTAACCGTTGGAAGCCGCATCAGCCTTGGCGACGCCTCGTCACTAACACATTCTGTGCTCACTTGAGATGCGCAATGTAGCTTGGACTGGTGAAACCGGGCAAAGAAAGCCGTCTAAGTCTATGGCAGGTCCACTCTGCCCATGGCGTGCAGGTCCGGTCACTTCCGGTCGCTCTTCCTCTTGGTCCGGTCGACTTCCGCTGCTGCCGTCCATCTTCTCTTCTTCCGTTCGTGGAACACGTGAGCCCCAATGACGATGACAACAACGGCGGATGATAAATGGAACACTATAACTATACACCATGCATAAGACTATCTTTTATATATAGATTTAATAGGTACATGCGATTCCACGCGGGTACAGTACATGCCACACAAAAGTGCTCGACTCCCACCCCAAAAAGTGGTGCCTCTGGACACACCCCAAAATCCCCCCCAAAATCATCCCAACAAATCCAAGAAATAAGCTCCGACTCGTCCGAACCCCCCCCCCGATCAGACTCGGGAGGTAAACCTCGTTTCTCCATCCCCATCGACTCGATCGCCAAGGCGCCACGATTCCAGTGGTGCCATGGCGAGAGCCCTTCACCTGGTGGAGCCGAGGCGACCGGAGGTGGCCCATGGCTTGGCCCATGGAGACCGACTGGGAACGACCGGATCAGATCGCCACCCACACGATCTGGGCACATAGCCGATGTTCTCTTTTTCAGCTGGATCTTTGGAGTCCTCCCATTCTTCTAAATGGTAAAAGAAATCCATTGGTCATTCATTGGGTCTATCCTATTGCCTGTAACAGTGGATTTTTTCCGCTTTGCATCTTAACGAAGTGAAATAGAGTGGTATTCACTTCCAGACAGTTGGTCAGTGTTCACGTACCAACAGCCTAATCAGAACAAATTACAAATTGGAACACGAATGCGTCAATGCAAGGCTGGCATGCAAATGTAAGGACCAAGACGTCCATGGGAAGTCAATGCTCAAATGCGTGAAGAAAACTTCAGTGCTGCTGGTCCAAAATACAACGTACAATTTGGTCAAAAGACAAATTAAGAGACTCTGGGTGTTGTGGCACGGGCAAACCAGAAACACGCCAATGCAGGTTGAAATGTCTGGAAGGCGGTGAGGCCTGTTTTAGATAGGCATCCAGGGCTAAAGCAGAATCAAAACCAGAAGCAAGTTTCGGTCTCCCCTTCAGGGCAGGGAACCAACCTCTGATGCCAATCCAGTTCAGCTCATCTGTACGATCAATCTTTTCCCGGTCATGGCCAAAGGGATGCACGCCATGGGCGTGTAGCCACTTGAGACAGAGAATGAAAATTTTTGACTGTGCCGCCAAGGTCTGAGGACCTTTTGCGTCAGCTTCTTTGGAAACATCTTGTAATCTAAAATCAGAAACCCCTTTCCAAGAACGAGCTTTTCCGGGGGCCATGTTGACTGGAGCAATTGATTTTGTTGTGACTGAGAAATCTAGGTACAATTGTGCAAAGGTAATACGAGTAGAGCATGAACAGTTCGGCCCACACCAATGCAATTGTTTGGCCCACCAAAGTAACCGAAAACAAAAGATAGGATGGTAGGGGCACCTTTTGCACAGTTCAAGATCAATGTCAAAATTAACACTTTTGGAACGGGAACATGGGGCCCACTTGAGCTGGGCAGTAGCCAGGACGTCAGCTGATTGTATACGACCACGTGTCTGGTTGTCAAGTTTGTTTTCTTTTTATAAGCATTAATGGAGTCCACCCAAACAGCAGCAACGAATTGATAAATGGAATCAAGCTGTTGTTGGGCTTGTTGTATACAATCAACAATGTGCATGTGTTGACCCAACAGGGATTTGTTATCCTGTAAAAAGACAGCTTTAGCATGGTAATCGGCTTGCGAGTTGGCAAATGATTGAAACCGCAAGTTAGCATCCAAGATTTGGGACCACTGTTCATGTGCTTTAACTTTTTGGATAGAGACACCCAAGAAATTACGACAGTTTAAATGTCTCAATATTAAGGCCCAAACATGATGATACCCGGGTTGGATGTCAGGCAAGGCATGATGCAACAGGATGTAGTTAAACTGATCTACAGCAGTTTGACAGTCCGAAAACAGTGTTGCATGCCACGCATGGTTGAGTGCCAACAGAATTGCAAAAACTTCAGCTGTGTAGGAATTTTGTGCAATACCTACGACACGAGTGCGAAGAATGAGCTTGGTTGTCAAAGTGTCGGGAAATCCTTGAACGACAGCAGCTCCGGCCAGGGCGGTAATGGGATTAGTGCTACAGAAAGCTGTGCCATCTAAGAATAAGAGTGGTGCATTATGGGATTGTTCAGGCACTGCAAAAGGCAAAGCGCAATTTAAACATCCCAGGCATTCCTTGAAAGGCAGATCAATCTTATCGGGTAGGCCAAGCGTGGGCATGTTAGTGCCCAATGCTTGGCTGGACTCAAAAGTTACATGTGCCTGCACGCGTTGTTCATGCCACTGCGGGCAGTAGTAAATTCTGTGAATACGAGAATCATCATGTTCACAAAACGGGCATTGACCAGTAATGTCAGTTCGGAACACCTTGGAAGCATCTTGAGTCATGCGTTTGCCTGTGATGTAAGCACTAATCGGGGCCTGTTGGGACGGATTTAACTTACCAAAGGCAGAGTGGATGATTTCAAAATCAAACGGTGCTTGATGAAAATCTTTCCTATGGATCAAATGCGGGATTTGGTCATTCCACAAATGTCTACAAATGTACTTAATAAGTTTGGCACTAGTGTGTTCAACATGTAGGAAACCATATGGGGTGTCAATGCCAAAAGCCTGGTCCTGGAAGGCAGGGGTACACTTAATCTTGTCCAAGGCCAGACCCAAACTGACACAAGGGCCAGTAGCTTTTCTGTAAGAATGGTGAGTGGCTTGGATTGCATTTTCGATGGATCTTCTTCTATGTGGAAAAGTTCTGAGATACCTACGAAAACAAATTAATCTGTTTACAATATCTTTGTACTCAGGATCAAGTGGCTCGATGGCGTTGCAAGCAAGATACGGATTCGACCCACCTTTAGACCTCTTAATGGCTTGTGCAGTGGCTGTACGAAGCTCACCAAATGAATCCCTGGACATGATTGACACAGCAGCACCATACGTGTGCTTCGAATGTGCGGCAGCAACAGTCATGGTTTGCCTGAAATGATTCGGGACATTGATCTGACTGATTTTCTTACACTTATCGATGGTCTTACGAATTTTAAGTGCACCCTGTGGCTTCCTTCTTTTCCGTGTATAATTCTGCTGAACACCTAGATCCTTGGCAGCTTCGTGCATAGGGATTGAAAGGTTATAGGGGTCCTGACGAAGATACTGTCTACCTTCAGGATTATTGGACCACAGCCAAGACTTAGGCTTTGAAAGCTGCATCTTAATGGTGTTTAAGAATTTATTGAGATGGTCCAGTCCATGGAGCAAAGCTGCATGGTCGGCGTGTACGAAAGACCAATTATCAGCGAAGAAAAGACAGTTTGCATCAGGGACTTCTGCCAGGAGAACTTTCCAAGCCCAAATACTAATGGCAAGCATTGCAGGAACAGCAAAGGAGCATCCCTCTACAATACCAGTCGTGGTGGTAAATTCCTGACCAGCAGTACCATCAATGATGAAGACACGATGCATGGCGTCCATTGCAGAAAGGAATGCGCCAACGATGGTCGGATCTGCACCCATTATTAGTAGCACTTGTACCAGGGGGTCTCTAGGTACCGTGTTATACGCTTTAATGAGATCGAGGACAACACCTGAAAGTCTGGCACCAGTGATGTTTGCTTCCTCAATCAACTCAGCATTTAACAAGGCAATCATTTCACTCGAAATTCCCAAGGACGGTCCACCAATCTGGCGTGGGAGGTTTGCAGTCAAAAAATTTGCGAGTTGTTTACCTCTAATTTTGCTCCAAAGCCTGTAAACTTTAGAAAGGATGGTAATAGGTCTAATGTCTAATGGGGACGTGGGCGAGTGACCTTTCGTGAGGCATAAGGTCTTGGCAATTACCCATCTGTGTGGCCATACTTTATTATGTTCCACAAGGCAAAGAATATGCGAAAGCATCTGCAAAATTGGCCCTGGCATTTTGCTAAGGTCAAGGGTGGTGAAACCATCACCCCCTCTCGCACTGAGTTTACTTGTCGATGCAATAGCTTGTTTGAGGTCACAAACAGAGATTGGGTGGTACTTCATGATCTGGTCGGTTTTGATGACCTCTAGATATTGATTAATAGCATGGAATTCATTCTCCTGCCTACTATCACGCTGGAAAAAGGCATCCCACTCTTGGTTGACTAAGTTGTGCATCTTATCATGGTCAATGGTCCAAGCATCCTGTGTGAGCACAAGGCTTGAACTCCGCAGGCGCAAAGGCTTATCAACAGTGATAACGGCACCTTCATTTTTTTGATGCAGACTTCTTGGCCCTGAAATCGTATGGCATCCAACCGAAGGTTAGATACATCTTCAAGGATTATTTGGTGTTTACCAGTTTTTGGCCATTTTTGCCTTACAACTGTGAACTCTTTTGGGAAATGGACAAACTGCAAGGGCGGAGGTGGCTCATCGGCAATAGCACGAAAAGTCTGTTTGCCTCCCTGCTGGATGTCTAACAATCTATTTACATATCGAATGCGTCTGTTTTCACGCGCAAAATAGGAAGTGTTTGCGGCATGCCATTCCACGAAAGCGTCAGTGAGGCACCTAGCAAATTCAAGGTCTGGCAGCTTGAGTGGCAAGAAATTCGCACCATGCTGGAATGCCCAATGCGAAAAAGACTTATGAAAGCCTTTGGCATGGATTATGGCATTCCAAAGTACCACAAGTTGTTCTTCAGCTCTTTTAGATGGCTTCTTATAGAAACTATCTAATTGTCGAACCAAGCTTTGCAACCTATGGGCTTGACGAATATGCCTACGGTATTCAACAGTTGGCGTGGCAGTTCGAAACTGTACATCGCCCCATCTTGCGTTCTTTGGAGCAGGTTGATCAAGGTCAGATCGGACAAACAGTGGCCTCTTACCTCTTCCGAAAAAATCACGCTTAAAGCGAACAGGATGACCTTCACAGTCAACGGCTGATTCGGCCAGGGTGTTCTCGGCAATAGACGACCATAGCTCACACAAGCTATTGAGATCAGGCGAATGTGTAAGCTCTTGGATGATTATGGTTAGTAACGGCCTTGTCCAAAAATAGTAAGGTTTGTTTACTGTTACAGGTATTAGGACAAACCCCAGTCATTCCATAGTCCTCTCATAATCTCTCCCAAACCAGCATCGTAAAATCAAAAGGACGTCATGGACGTCTAGCTCTATGCAATCAGGACAGGTAAGTCCGGTTGAGAGGTTAGCTTCCTCTCTTTTTGGTGCCCTTTCTTCGTTTCTGAGTGCATGCTCATCATCTTGCTGATACTGATATATAGCATGTCCACCTGGAAAATAACAACTTCATCCACTCTGTTCCTTCTGTGGGGCATACTCTCCATGAACTAACAACATAATCAAACTTGTTCCGTCAAAAGCTACCCTCCATGGATACTCGAGGGATTCGGGGGTTCGAAAATCAGGCCGACCTGGCCCCTTCCTCTCAACTGAGAGGAGAAATACCATAAAACCGAAGTGCTGCGTGACGCTCTGCCGCCTGATCCTTCGCGAGCCCAAAATCCGCTAGGCGTGCGTGTCGGCGTACCCGGTCGAGGAGGATGTTACTACCTGAGCGAGCGAAAAGGCTCTGCGAAATAGTTTCCAAACACGTCTCCAACAAGTCTGAGTGGCTGGGAAATGCTTCATATGAATGACACGCAATACCAAAATACGTGGGTGAATGGTTGGAGGCAATTCTGGACACAAACAGGCTAGATGTTATGTGAACAAATCGCTCATCTCTAGAAATTCAAGATCCCGGAGGGCCTGATAGGTCTCGGTGTGTCATTCACTTCTCCTCTCCCATCGGAGACCGAACATGGCCACGTCCAGTCGACAGCGAGGTGTCCGGCAACACGGGCTACTTCGCTCAGCCGCATTCAGCCGCACGTGCCGCAAGTGCCCCTTGAAAGGCCCCTGCTTTCGCAGGAACCCGTGCAAACGCACGGAATTGACATAAATGGGACCACTTAGTCACTATAGCTTGGCCTTGATGGTTTTGAACCCAATGGAACCTGTTGCCAATTCCCTTTTGGTGCCAAGGCCAGTTAAAATGTCACCCCACATCCCGACATATCCTGACCCCCTAAATCCCGGGCCTTGACAAAAGCCCCTTGTTCCGACTCCAAGAGCAAACCCTTTCGACATCTGATATACATCGATCATCGAGCTGCTCTTGATATCACGATGGACCATCTTCTTTCCATGGAGGAAGGACACGGCCGTGACGATCCTCGGAGAAGGCAAAGAAAAAGACTCGGACCCTGACTGCAGGCCTTCTGCAGTCCTGAAAACCTTTCCGACCAAAGGCAAAGAACAGCTTGTGGGCGAAATCTCGCCGAAGACCCACCAAGCTTCCCAACAGATCTGACTCCTGATCTGCTCAGTACCACTCCCTGGGCCGTTTTGCAGCTGTGGCACTGCCCCAGGCACTCAGCTCGGGGAGCCCAGGACATGTTCCGCAGCGCGTTCGCGAGGCAGCCGCCCTCCATGAGCGGCATCACGATGAGCTGCTCGGGACCTGCGGTGAGGCGTGTGGCGATGCGTCTCACGCGGCGGCGTGGCGTGGGGAGCGAGCGGTCGAAGGTCTACAGGGCTTCAGGGCTACGGGCCTACGGGGACGGGAGTCGTGAGGCGCAGCGAATTCTTGAGAGAAAGTAGGGTGGTTTATACTTGTGTGTATTCAATTCCTAAAGACGCAAAAAAAAAAAATGTATACCAGAAAAACCCTAACCCTAAACACCCAAATACAGCACATGCATATACCATCATAATACAAAAAATCCTTTGACGGGTGCCTTTTCATGATGATCTTCAGAGTCAATGAGGTCACGAAGTGCTGAGAAATCAGATTCTGACCGACGACCGACCAACTAACCCCGATCTTCTCTGCAACAGATGTGATTCCCAAACGCTCCGTTCACAGCCCGACGGGTCCCTCAAAACCGGATTTGAGACCCCACGACCCCTCCATATTGGATCCATGAGCCTCTGGGTTGGGAACTGTCAACAACCCTCAGGTAGTGGTGGTAGTGACAGGGTGTTGGTTTGTAAATGTGCCCTTGCAGGTGAGGATGGTGCACAGAGATTGTGTGCGTGTTGCTGGTGTCTTTTTTGGGGTTGAACAAAGTCAAGATCTCACTAGCCGACCAGAAACTGACAAATAAGAATGACCCCCAGTTCCCTTCTGGCGCTCACACGCACTCACCAATCTCATGCGTCAACCCTTCCTAATCCTTCCTCATTCAACCGTGCCTGTGGTCGCTCGACCCAAGATCTCCAAGACATGTGGGTGCCGACATTGACAGAGTGCGTCCAATTCTCGGTCGAAGTTATAGGCCATACCGCCTATAGCAGCTGGGACCGTTTCAGCGGGCGATTCAGTAACTTCTCTGACAACTGCTCCCTAAAATGGAGCAGTCCTTGAGTTTTTTTTTTGACAGTGGATGTTGGTGATGATTCAGGGTGTATACATGACGCAAAAGAAACAAGCAACTATAAATTGTAATGGAACAAGCTAATGAAACAGTAACCAACTGTATACAAGTAAGTGGAGATTGATGGGTCTTGGTTATAATTACTGTGAAATGTATTTCCTAGATTGGGTTGGAGCCACAGACAAGCAGGACAAGTTAAACAAAAGGTTGCACACAAGTAAAAACAAATAAAATACGGTAGCAGGAAGAGCTACTGTAAATGAGAAGCCATGATTCATGGACATGATCATGGTCTTTTTCCTATGACCATCTGACCATCTATGACCTACACTCAGTCATCTGCCCAGATCCTTACATGCAACTCCTCAACACGAACATACCATCCTCAAACACCGTAACCCCCAGGACCTCGCCTGTGGGTGTCTGGTGGAAGCGCTTCACGGCCACCTGCGCGTCCAAGTCGTGTCGATCCAGTGAGGTCGACTTGGAGAAGCTCTGTGTGATTGTTTTGGTTGTAAATGGTCAAGTCATTAGTATATATATATATAGCGCCACTTGCGAATCTGTCCAAGCCACAGCTCATGTTAAGCAGAGCTTGCGATCATCTAAAGTCATAGTTAATATAATCTAAAACGTTTTAGGATGATGGTAGACCCCCACCATTTTACAGAGCAAATGGACAGTGTATATAATCTACCAGGACCCTCCTGTCAGGGTGTCTATTCATAGCCCCTTAGTCGTAAGTGATTCGGGGTGTCCATTAACCACCCCTTGAAGGCCCTGGTCATGGTGTATACAGTTGGACAGTACTTGTAGGAACTTCAAAAACCTCCTGGTTCTTCTATTGGATCCACTCCACGGATCCCCTCCCCTGAGCTCGCTCGCGGGTCCGCGGCCCGGGTCCGCGCGCGCGGACCCGCGCGCGAGCGCGCGCTCCGCGGTCCCAGCCTGTCCGAAGCGCGTCAAGGAGCCCCGGTAGACCGTGGCCGCGGCACCCTGCGCCGTGCTGGTCGCGAGTGAACCCGGAAAGCGAGAGTCAGATGACCTGCCTAGGATGACTGAGGTGAGGAGAAACAAGACCTGCTCACTGAAACGAAACCATTTTGGAGTGATCCAGCAGAGATGATCCAGGGGATGATCCAGCAAGACCTTTAGCAACAGGGTTTTGATCGGTGGGTGGATGGCTATTCAACCTCCTATACTGCGCTATCTACCCCTTTCACTGTTGTCACATGTCGATGTCCGTGCTCGCGCTGATTTCGGCCGACCGGTGCCTTTCTCAAAGGGGGGAAATGAATCCAACACCCAAACACGACTAATGGGACTGCCATATATGCTGATCAATTGACCCCCCAGTCAACCACCCCAACTGATCGGCAGTCCCATTAGCCGTATTTGGGACATGTTTGGTCCTTCGCGGTCAACCCCGAGAGGAGTCGAGTTACGTTTGGTTCGACTGCCGGACCGACTGCCGGACCGAGAGCCAATGGAAGACCTGGAGACTCACAAAGCTCGGCTTTTTGTGGGTCACCGAGTTCGCACCAGGGGGCTGGAGTGGCCCAGTTTTGCTTGCGTGAAAGTAGGAGCAAGGACGCTACGAACGTAGCTCCTGGCCTTACTACTAGGAGCAAGCAGCTACTAGGAACAAAGGGCATCGCTACTAGGAGCAAGGATGCCGCTACTTTGAAGCTACTATAGTAACTAGTAACAAGAAGACTCCCTCTTTGAAGCTCACCCAGCACCCTCCAGCACCCGAAATGGCTGTGCGGCTGGCGCTGCTTGAGGCATCACATCTGCCTGCCTTCCCCAAGATGTTGGCATCCGACCAGTGGTTGCCTGGGTGAACTGGTGTTCAGTGAAGAAGGACTGGGATGATTGGTCTTCTGATCGGAAATTCCTTGGTTTCTAAGTCTACAACGCAACTATAGATAGAACTGGTTCCAACATGTATCAGGGGGGCAACACAATGAATTGTTTTTTCAGCATGTGGTCGTCACAAACAAGGCTTTTGGTCAGTTCCAGATATGAAATTGGGACATACTGGACCGTAAAAAGAACCTTTATCCTGGGTGATCGTGATGACAATTGTAGGATGCATCGCCACACACCCGTGTATACTTCCCTTGGAGCACAATTAAACAGTATCTTTAGACCGCAAGTTGAACAGTATTGCACCAACAACACCGTGACACAATTGAGAGCCCGATACATGGTCTCCTACCCATCCGAAATGGCAACCCTTCCGCATCTATCTTTCTACCAAACCTTTTGTAGATCTCCAATTTTGCGCTGCTTTGATGGGCGCATACAAGCTTAAGGCAAGGAGGGAAGAGGAACCTCCAATCAACATGTTCGCCTCAGCTACCCTCATTCTCTTCGAAAGCCAAAACGCAATCGGCTCCAAAAGTACCAGCACGGCACAAGGCAGAAGGTTGAGGTTTTCATATATAACAGGTTCGGATTCGGAGTCTGACAACATTCCGAAATAGCAGCATCGCAGGTCATCGCAGGTTTTAGCAGGTTTCTGGTTGAACAAGTGGACGTCAAACGCATCTTTTAAGCGTCAGTGTCCTTTATCCCTTTATCCCTGCAACGCTTTGACCTGTTTGGACGAAAAGCACTCTATTGGTATATATAATCCGCCAAAACTCCATGCATGGCATATGTGCACTTGAACAATACAAACTTGTTCAAACCATTCCAACGTAGGTATATATTATACGCATGGAGTGTCTGGCATGGCTGATTCTATAGGTCTATCAATCTATCAACCTCAAAAAATCCACCTTCTCATCGTACCTGGCATGTGTGCTGTCAGGTGTCGATCTAAAAACAAGAACGTGACACGAAATTGCACATCCAGGTCACATGCATCTTTCAAGTCTCGATATTCCATGAGCTCTCCACGTGTGCTGTCATCGGCAGCGACCACGATCCTAGCGCAAACAAAAAAGAACGCAAATCGAGATGGTGATTTGGTGAGTTATAGTAATTTATAATTCTACATATATATATATATACAGGGAGTGTATATGTTCCCTTTCCCATGTCCTGAAAAATAATGTGTCATATTGTTTCTCATGTCCAGTCTGGCCTTTTCTTTCCATCCGAACAGTTGGAGACAAGCAAGTTTTTGACCCAAACCCTGTGGCAAAAATGTTGGGTCAACCCTGGAACGGCCCGGTTCCCGGGTGACCGATGAATTAGTGGCCTGGGCAGTCTCCTGCCCAAGACTTTCAGGAATGCCTTCCCATGCATGTTCAAGAAGATGTTGATAACTTTACAAGTGTTTGAGCCACACTGAAAGTTTTTTTGTAGCTTTTAATTTGTTGAGTTGGCTACAGAAAGCCTCGATGGTTAAAGAATGCAACTTCGGCAAAGGATTGGCAAATTTGCCACCTGCTTTTTTCCATGGTACTTTGTCGTTTGTTTATGGCTGTCCACCTTTGTATGATACTTTTATTTCCTTGCTACTGGTAGCTTCTTGTTACTATATAGTAGCAATGCACTTAGCTACTAGTAGCGTCCTTGTTACTAGTAGCGATGCACCTTGCTACTGTTACTCGTACTAGCTTTGCGTTTTTGCACCTGAGCATGCTCATTCCAGGATGATGTTCGTGGCCGTTCAATCATGACAAACCAGAAGAAACGCTCATGGGTCTCCGCTCCACCGCTCGTTTGGTTAGTTGAGCAGACCAGGTTTGCCCACACAAAGAACATATTATCATATTACTACTAGAAACAAGAAGCTACTAGTAGCGATGCACTTGTTCCTAGTAGCTTCTCGTTACTATAAAATGCCTCATGAGTTCTCTCTTTTCGGATCCAGCGTTTCTGTACCGGTTGGCTGATTTGGTCGAGCAGAGGCGCCCTATCAGGCCCTATCATGCCAACATAATATATATATATATATACTAAGCATGGAACATGATGTGTTTTTGCTCCCCAAACAGCTTTCGGACTCCTGTTTTGGACTCCCAACGGTCACCAACTGAAAACTGGGATCCGACGACGAAACGGTCATTTCGTTGACGACCCTCGCTCCAAGGCGCATGGACGCCGGCGCGTCCGACTGCTTGCCACCTGCTGACACAAAAAGGCAGCTCATTCGGAACCCACAAATGCTATACGGTCCCACCATGTCAGGGTTTCGCTCATTGAGACATGACCGAATGAAGCAAGCTAAGCAAGTGTGAGACATGTTAACATCAAATTGGCGCAGTCTTGCACATGTTTTTTCGAGAGATCTGATCTGGCTCCTGGAGGCATACAACAGGCATACACCTTTCAGAATTGGAACGGCACTATTGTAAGAAAACTGGGAATTGATCTATGAGACATGGTGCGACTTTGATATGAGATGACCGGTCAAAAGACATTTATTACATGGCCTCCCAGTTACCAGCGAGTCACCAGTGAGTCCTTGCACATTGTTTACAGCAAATGCTACTGCAAGAGATCTCTGCTCTTGGACAAGTCTTGGGGGCGGCCTATAGCTTGGGGAAAGTGTGTGTTTTTTCTTTTGTCCCAAGGGAAGGGTCCTCCATTGCTGAGCCCTCCATTGCTGTGGCTGGTTCCAGTGGCTCGGAAGCGAGCCACGAAAAGAGCACCCCCAAGAAGCAAAGCTAAACAAAACTGGCAGGGACGAAAAAAGCTACAAGTGCTATTGCCTTAAGGATCCAAGTACCCTCTGAGAAGGTGTTTGGGGTTGGTTCGGAGGGGCCAAGTACCTTTTGAGGAGGTACTTGGATCCTTAGAGTTTTGGAGACACCCTGGTTGACCAGCAGGGTAGGAACAGCACAGACGACCAGTACCTGGGAGATCAACCTACCTGGGTTTGAGGCTCGGGGTTTTGACGCCGAACGCCACATGGCCTTACAATCTCTTCCATTCTACCGTAAACGCTCCCCACCTGCACTATCGCTCCTGCCCAGCTGAACCGCTCCACCTGCAGCTCGGCAAACCACAAGCTGCCGACGTTGCTTTGGCTAAGGACAACATCCCACTAAGATCATCTGCTGCGTGTACCCACTCACCAACCTACAAGTTGACCACCAAGGATTGTCTTGTGAATTCCGACCATTGGCGCAGTCCTGTTTAATCTCCTGCAGTTCACATTCTGTCACAAACTTTTGGATTCTCAGGGCTTGGAACATGTGGCTGGATGATGCTGGATGCAGGATGTTAAATGCCTTGTAGGTGTCTTACCTATTCCTGCCAAATTGACTTCCGACCTAGTGTGTCGACTCATAGACTGGTTATGTCAGACGACTCGTGAATAACCCTTCCGATTGGCCCCCCTGCTCCAATCAAGTGTTTTCACTTCGAAATAGCCCGCCTGACTCCACATCCACCGTCTTCCCGGGACCCTTGAGGCCGAAGATTTCTTTCAGCCATTCGCGCTTATAGGTGCACAACTGAGCTGCGGAACACAGGAAGTGAGTGTTTTCAGTGGAACACATCGGGAATTGCAGGGAGAACCTCCACTTGCAGCGGGTCAGTTCCACATTGACTTGCAGTGCTAATGTATTCTGATGTTCATCTGGACCAGGTTCTTGATGACGGAACACTGGTGCCCGTCATGGGAAATGCCAATATAACTGCCGACATCTGTATGTGGGAGTTCGAAAAACGGGTTCATTCCTCAGTAAAAAGCGTGGTTGCAGGAGCAAACGGGTTCATTCTTCCACAGCAACGGCTTCTCATGGGTTGGAGTGATGGCACGATGGATTGAAGCTGCTGCCTAAGTCGGTTCTCCTAAGTCGATGGTTGCAGGAGCTTCTGGCAAAACTCCGGAGCACCAGGTGGGAACGCATTCCCAGTGGAACGGAGCACCAGGAGTTGCAGATCCCTGTGGGTTCCACACCTCTTCCTTCGTGTTTCAATAGGGGGACCTCTCAACTTAATGGGTGCTGGATGGTTCGGGTCCAATCTTCTTCTTCCAACTGGGAGGTCTCATGCGGTCTCCCTTTGAAATACACATCCATTTGGATCCTGCACATGTTCCCAAACGCGTTTGATTTCACAACCTTGGCCGCCGCCCTGTGCCCAAACCGCCCCAAAAGAAATCTGAGCAACTGCCCATGCGATGAGCACCACGAGCACCTGTTCGGTGTATGTCAGCATGTGGGATAGGTTTGGAGGTGTCGACCAAAAACTGCCTCACTTGCGACAAGGAACACATAGAAGCATCTCAGTAGTCGATTGTAGATGCTTTTGCACGGTATTTCACCCAAAGATTCTTTGACCATTTTGGACAAGTTCAACATTAAGGGATGTTTAGAAGTTTAGCAGCAAAAAACAACCAACCAACTTCAGCAAGAACTTAATTATTGTGTATCTTACTGTAGCAGCAGCAACCACCTCCACTTCAAGAATCACTGCGTATCTCCGCCCTTGCACTCGTTTTGACCCTTGTTTGGACTCCTAACTGGTCTATATAACTATTTTTTCATCACTCATCTCATCCCATCGCCATGATCTTCCTCCACGGCACCGAAACCGTAATGCCAATGGCCAAGCGCACCGACATGGCGAGTCACCGCCCTTTTGACCAGGGTCGGGTCGAGCAGCGCGCGGGCGGCGAGTGGGGGCACTTCGACTGCTTTAGCAGGAAGCCTCTGACGTTGGAGCTGGGTCTGGGCTGTCCAACTCTCGCATAGCCCGAGTGAACAGCATGCAAATGTTCTCATTTTCAAGACAAGAACGCTCCTGGAAGGGTCCCATGAAGAGAACTGGATGCAGCAACCCTGCTGTTTGGCTCTAGCTGATCACCATGTCAAGGCCGCACCTGCCATTCACCTGGAGCTGCTAACAGAACTCTCCGATGTCCATAGGAGTTTCATCGTATGGGTGATCGATTCACACACATGCATGATGGTTGCTTTCCTCCATCGACTTCTGTCGTGGGAGATGTGATTGGAGCGGGCTACCGCTTCTCCTTAATTGGAGCTGGAGCCTGAGTGGAGCGAGAGAAGTCCGTCCTCCCAGATCCTGCAGAACTGGACACGCCGGGATCCTCCAACCCTCAGTCGGACATGAACACCAAATCAACATCGGCGCCATGACAAAACCCGGGTGAAACTGGCATGTTTTTGCCATGACTCATCTTCAGCAGAGAATGGTTGCTACAAAACCGTACTGTCATCTACAGTCGTGTTCGTGTTCTAAACGCTCGTTGATCTCAACAAACCTTGGACACATCCTGCAACACCTTAAAGCCTCAGGAATCGGCTGTTCTAGTGATTCGAGTCGAGTGGTCTTCACCGCTGATCACCATGACCATCCCACCATCTTTGAATATCTTTGACATGGGTTTGGTCAATCAAGTGCTTCAGATCCACAAACATCCGTGACATGTTGCCACGCTACTAGTAACAGGTGCCACGCTAGTAGTAACAGGTGCCTTACTAGTAGGAACAAGTGCATCGCTATTAGAAACAAGAAGCTATTAGTAATCATCTCAAAATGAGGACTTCCATTGGTCGGCGCCGGCGCAACCAGGCGCGACCAGGCACGACGTTCTTAGGATGCCAAGATCGAGCCACCGTGGTATTGAGGCTTTGGCCACCGTTGAAAAAGAAAACGCTTAACAAAGTCAACCTTTGTGAACTTTCGATATAACAACTGTTCGGGGTTTCGATTCTAGGAAGCGTTGAATGTAGTAGATCACAGGGTTTGTGACCAAAGGGCCAATGTTGTGCCATATGCGGGAGTTCACCACCGGTGTAATTCTTCAAAAGAGAACGGTCCAACATGATCCAAGCCTACACTGGACTTCAACCACCTCAGGCCACATGTGATGTGCCTAAGCAAAACAGCAGCAATTTCCCAAAAGAACCTCACACCAACATGTCCAATGTCCACATGACCCACCCCACCCACGGTCCTCACGGTCCCACCGGTCCCACCCACCGCTTCGACGGCACCGTGAGACATCGGCGCCCCGAATTCGCTCCGCCTGAAGCTCATCGGCATGACGTTTGGCGGCCAAGACCTGGTCGACCTCGCCTGCAGACTGCGGTGGGTGCGATCCAAGGAGCAAATTGTTTGATGGCCTGAATCGAAGATAAGGTGTTTTTTGTTGGATCATGACATAGTATGACATACCTGGACCATCCTGTTTAGGTGTCCTGTCTGGACATCTATGCCTGGCATGAAACATCTCTAAGTAGTTGGAGATTTTCGCCTGGGTAGTCCAGCTAGGTGACCCCAAACAGGATGGTCCTGGAAAGGTGTTTCCTCTTTTTCCAAGGAAAGGTGCGATCGTTTCAGAACAAGATGTTCGACCATCCCTCAAATTCGGACCCCAGGCAACGAGCTTGAAATGGACAAAATGTGTTCGCTTGGTCTTCGCAGTCTAATTGGACACCTGACTTTGGCATGGTTTGCAGTTTAAGCCAGGGTACAGGATGCAGGTTGCATCAAGTCTAAGAACAAGCAAATCTCGCTGGAAACCGGAAACCGCTGCCTTTGAAACCATCGGTGTACACAACGCATCTTTTTCTGGAAATACATCTGTGTGTGGCGAGGCTCGTTCGTTACAAGTGCAGGGCGTTGAGACTTCAAAGGGAGGAGAAGAGCTCAGATGAGAATCCTTTGTACCTTTGGACTTTTGTTGCCCTTCCTGGCATCCGTCTCAATTGTGAACGTCGAGCAATGCCACTCAACATGCCTGGCTCGACTTCCAGAGCAAAAATTTGACATGGTCTGAGGGCAATGGCGCATTCTCTTGCCATGCAAAAAGGACATAGTGGAATATGTCATTCAGCTTCAGCACCTTGCTTTCATCCGGTCACAATTGCCTTCGGGCCCTAAGAGCCATAGGCGACAGCAAAAACACAAGCCCAAGCTCAATTGCAAGTAGGAGAAACATAGCAATCTGATAGGAACAATGCCTTCTCCTGAAACCATAGCAGCCATGGGCAATGAGCCCTCCTCTTGAGCAGGATACAAGTTTACCCATCACCTTGCACCAACAGCCGAACTCCCGAGCCTTTCAATTGGGTACAACCAGTCATGGTCAAAGAACAGCCGTTTTGTCGTAGCGTCTCAGACTGCTGCATCCATGCGCTGTGTAGATGACAGCCTGGAGGAGCCCATCAATGAAATTCCTTGCCGCAAGCGGAGACACACAGTTTTCTCTTGCTTGCCAAAGTATTTTGCATGCCCCAAGCAAACTTGTCTGTTGCTTCTTCTGGCTGCAACTTGCCCACTGATCGGTTCTTGATCTGCCAGCACACCACTCGCACGACGACATGGTGCAACCATCTATGTATCATGCTGTTCCAAATGCCAATTGAGAACATACAGGTCAACACCATCGGCCAAAAATCTAAAATGAATCTGAATTTGGAACATTTGGAACAATGAATAACCAACTACTACACTTGTCACAGGCCATGGATCTTTGCCCCAGGCTTTCTGTCTTTTCTCAATCTTCCCCCCAGGGAAAGGGATGCACATGTTTCCCATTGATGCCTAGGGCAAAGGAGAAATGTAAACAAACAGCAAAGGGTTCTGTCCGGGTTGTCTATTTTCATCTATGTTCACAGTTGGTTAACTTGAGTTTCGGCCAGTCAATGAGCTCTCCAAAGCGCTTCTTCCGAAGATGTCTATCAGTGACACCTAAGCAGCCCCACACCTGCCAGCGACACCCTTGGCGCTATTGATTCCTGTTCAATTTGCTTGTGGAGGAGCACAAAAAAGAGAGAGAGAGAGAGAGAGACAGACACACACACACACACACATGACGCCAATACCCATCCAAAATCCAACCTCCCAACATCTGTGCATGCCATATGCACGGTGGATAGTCTGATATAGCAATATATATATACCTCAATCCATGATCTAATTAATCTAATGACCGAAGCACAACTCCAAGAGTTGCAAGTTATAGGTGTTAGTTAGGTGTGTCGGCCTTTGCCGATCCCGCCCCTGAGTTTACCGCGACCACCTCACAGCTACCACAACGAACGCTGCGTAACTGAACGCCCGGTGACTTCGAACGAACGGTGACTTCGAACGAACGCATGCGGGCGGTGAGTGGTACATGAGACCCCCTAAGAGCATCGGACCTGGAAAGTGGCCACCCGGAACTGGTTCGCCTGGTCGGCGCATCGACACAAAAGACGTCGGCCACGATAGTTACGTAGCGCAGCGCTGGTCGCGCGATCGCGACGAAACGCCTTGGGGAGCGACCTGGCGCAGCTCCAAGTTCTCACCTTAGCTCCAGGAGCTGGAGACGGCGAGCCCCAATATTTGGAGCCAAAGACTCGTGGTCCGGTCTGACTCCTTCCCAAAACCGACATGTGAAAACTTTCTAGAAAGCAGCACATGGATCGGTCTGCTTCATGTGGTAAAATCATGTAACAACCAACTATTCATCTGATCCCATCCTTGGACAAACCAAAACACCTGCAAGAGGTCCCTTCTTTGGGTCTCATTTACCCAAAGAAAGCAAAAGATCCGTGACCAAACAAAGCATCTCAGTTCTCACCAAGTCCGACTTCTCAGTCCGTCTTCCAAAGTTGTCGGCGGGCCATGTCCGTCACATGAATCCGCGACGTGATGCGCTTGTTTCGCCGTGAAAACTCAAAAAAAACGCCTCCAATTCCTCGAGATCCCACACGAAGCAGCTCCTGATTCTTCACCTGACACTCGGGAACCCCAAAAATGGACGTGTCACGAGCAGCAGTCCGTATACGCGTCCGCGGAGAACAGCGGTTTTTCACGAACACCCTACACCCTGTCTGACTCACTTAGGCCGCCGACCGCGGAAGGACGGCGTGAGTCCGTGCACTCTTCTACGCCACGCGTGAAACAGGTAGAATGTCGGGTTGAGGGACGTTTTGTAAGACCTGGGGATTTGGAAGGCATCGACCAATATTGAACGAGCCATAAGCTCCAAACATAGGATCCAATCAAAAACCATCCGAAATCCCCCGTCACCTGCAGCTCCATCATCTGCTGCGCCGCTGCCAGCGCCGCTGTGGGCGCCGGCGGCTGTGGCGGCGATGGAGGAGTGGGGCCTTGGCATCAGAGGACCGACCGAATGACCTGGAGGTCGGTGGGTGGGGAGTCAGGTGAACATGGTTGAACGATCCATGTTTCATGTGGCGGCTTCACAACTGCAGCAGAAGGTATGAGAAGCCTCCAGGTCAACCGGTTCGGCCGTTGCTTCGGCCCGGGGCTTCACAGCTTACTTGTGCGGATGTTTTTGGTTGATCCGACTGATTATCGGTGCGGCCATTGAAAAGCAGAAACAACTGGTTGGATCTTCCGAGGATGGAGAGAAACAGCACCTGCTGTGGATTTGGCCCTCGCTAGCAGGGCACAAGTTTTGGCCTACTTCTTTTCATTGCGTTTGGCGTACTTTTGTGCCTTGCAGTTACTCAAAACTATCCACCTCAAGACCGTTTCTGGGCATGCCAGCAAAAGCTAGGTTTGCACATCGAGATGTGCAGTGTGCAGGATGGAGGCTTGGATCTTGACTTGAAGCTTGAGGATGGGTGCAACCCTGTCGTCGGCTCCAGTGATCAAATAATGCGCATGCAAACTGGAACTGAGAATATCTTTGTTTTGAGTTTCTGAGAGTCGTATTCGTTGACTGATCTT